TTGCCAAATGAGGGATGCCTTTCTCGAGAAGCTCTCAGCAACCTGGAGGGCTTTTGTAGAAGAACAGTCTGGATTCCTTGAGGTGATGCTTGGAGGTCTCTTGGGAGGTGTGCCGCTCGGGTCTTTCGAACATGGCTGAGCCAAGCCGTACCCCCACGATGGCTGAGCCAAGCTTTGAGTCGCGGGAATCAACCGGTGACTTTAAGATGGCAAGCCAATCAGCGCACTTGAACCACTGGGCTTCTGGCACGCCATGTTCCACTGGAAAAGAAAGTCTTCCAAAGAGCTGTCATCCATCCAGCCATCCACTCCCCAACATCGGATTAAGTGCCTGGCTTTGCAACTTTCAGCTGCAAGTTCCGGAAACAACTTGCGAAACACTTCATATCATTCGACCCTGTGCGAAGTACAATGACCCGAAATACGCACCTCCCCCCAGTTCGGGAACCGATCACGGGGCGATACCGATCGGCCGAACACCAAAGCGCTTGTGCAGTCGCCCGAATGTGTATTTATATATATATACACATAATCTTCATGGTACCCCCCCCCCCCCCAAAGGAGTACTCAGCATTCATTCAGACTTCCTGCCAGATGTCCCTGGTTCCTCTTTGACAAAGGGAAGACCTGCAGAGCATTGACTGGAACAAGAACTTTCCACGAAACTGCTAATTAAGAATTCTCGCACATGCGTTCTGTGGTCCCTTGTCAGTAGAAAGGAGGTGAGATAGAACCACTGCAAGCTTGCAATGGCAAACATAGCTAACACCCATCTGAGCTGGAAAAATAAACCGGTATTAAAACTCTTATCTCAAGTTGTTTTCATTGCAAATCCAAGCGGCGGTCTTAAGCATGAGGTCCCCCAAAAGCACTGCCCCTTTAAGTGTATGAGGTCTCACTAGATTCCAGTTTAAAGGACTTGAGAGAAATGCCGGGCAGATCAGCGCAAGTGCCACGGGAACACAATTTCCCCACGGTCATCCCAAAAAGTGGCGGATGTGAGGACATTGCCAAGGTCCTCCTTCCGCAGAAGCGTGTGACTCATCTTCATTTCCGCAGAATGTGCTTGTTAAACTTTGATATGGTTTAAGCGTCCAATTTGTATGCAATGTCTGTGATAACATGGCCAAATTGCAGTCGCCCACTCTAAGCCTCAGCAAGAACACCAAATGGCGCCCAACAGCCCAAACGCATGGGAAACTGCGTTGTGCTCACCCTTATACGGAAGTGATTCTGCATCCAGTGATTGAGCCGTGTTTGAAAGGAATCAAACAACTTAAAGCGCTTTATAGCTGAAGAGGGCGACTTCAAGCGCTTCCAAACATGACGGATTCAAGGTGTCGATTTGAAATATTGAATTCAGTACTGCTCCAGGCCAAAACACTTTAAAGCGCATTGGTGGCACTTCTTGGATTGATTCCCAGAATGCTTTGCCTATTTTCAATCCTCAAAAGCACATCCTGGTGGCCATGAGGACGCCAACAACTCAAAATGCAGGGAATAAGATAGAAAGAACGGATAATTTTGCCAGCAGCAATTCGGCCTGGCAAAAAAACATTGTCACCAGTTTCATTATAACTGCGTCATGAGAAACCTCAGTACTCCTGGGGGCAACAAGTCTTCACGTATGTACACATATATTCAATATTCATGATGTATTCAGATTGGGTCTGTCGCCCCCCCTCCTTCCAGCTGGCTATAGAGATAAATCAAACCCACCCGAGCATGCAGGGTGTCGAAGAGGTGGGAATTGCCGACGGTCTCTTTTTGAATCCTTCCAAACGACTTTTTTCGGGATTCCTGGAAGTCCCTGAAATGTTCAGTCCCTCACTTTTGGGATTCCAAGTTCATGAAAATCTGCGCTGCCCGTGTTTAGATCCCCTGCTAAAAGTTTTTAACTTTAGTGGGTATGGAAACCACCACTACACACTAAAAGGATCTAAGCAATCAGAACAGATGGCCGGGAGGGGAGCCACCAACGAACAAAAGTTCTTCAGTCCCGATCGCCCGATCTTTCGTGCCCAGGCGCTTGTACCCCGCGGCGTTGTCCTCCGAGATCTCCGACACCATGCCCGGAGGACTGGCCTCGTCTTCGGGAAGGTTGACGTTGGGTTTGGGGAGCAAAAAATATGTTTTTAGCAGTTCAGTGGTTGGATTTCAACCACTAAACCACAATAAGCAAAAATGTTAAAAACAAAAGAGAAAAAACGTTTCCCAACAAGAACCATGTCTTTGCGACAAGGAAGCGCGCCCGCGTATATTTTTCGTGTTCACGGCACGGGCCCAAAAACCCCGCGAAAAGAGGCACCACAAATATTGAATGATACTAGGTCCTCCAGAGAGGTTAGAATAAGGGTGCCCGATTTCTTTTTCAGGACGTCTATTTTAGCAGGGGAACACTCCCAGCCAAATAAGGGGTGAGAAAGGCACCTAGCTGGGGGGGCCGGGATACATATGCCGTCTCCCAGCCAGGCACTCCAAATTGTGGATTTGCATTGTGTCAGTTCGCTTCAGCTCTTCAGAGACCAGTTGGGTGTCTCCAAAAGCCCAAGACATTGAGACCCAGTTCAACCTTAAGAGAAGTTCCTTCCTTTTTCACTTCCGTGTAGTTTCTAATCCCACACAATTAGGACAATTTACCCTCCACACTAACATGGAATCTCGGACCTTTTGGGAAGACTTGGTTCCATTTGCAGAGGCCTGGCAGCTTCCAGGTTCGTCTGAGTGTATCAGCCTTAGAGGCTTCGGCAGCTCCTCGAAAAGCCCCATCTGCTCATTGCAAGAGCTTTGTACGCAAAGTGACCGCTTTGGCAACTTCAACGTGCCTGTGACAGCTCTGTCATTCTTGTGGTATTATTATCGTTTTGGGAGGGAAATTCAGCAGAACATCAATATGTGGAACAAAAAACACTCATTCCTATCTAGATTGTTGTTTGAAATTGGAATGTGAACCCATCATAAAAGTGATCCATGCCCTTGTGCAAACCATATGTGCATATATGTATGAATCAATTCACATGCTAACTCTGATCTCAAAAAATGAATATTGGAAAGCAATCCCATCCAAAAGATCAACATCCAAAGGATTATTTACCCAATCTAATTCCGTGCTATCTAATCATGGACTGAGCCAAGCCAAGAACAAGCAATCGTATGGTTCTGCTCCTTGGCAAACATGCAGTAAGATGCGTTATTTATCAGATGCGTCGGATTTGTGTTCCCCCTGAAAAAAGGTTGAACTCGGCAGTGCATGTCATGTTTCTCCTCAAAAAGAAGGGGTTCAAACCGGGCACCTCCTGAATGCACCAAGAAGAGCCTACGTGTGTAAGCAAAACAATATGCAAAATGTGATTCCGTCCAAAAACATCTATTCTGTAAACACTGTATTGGTGCTTTTTATTCTCATGGTTCATATTTTGTTTAGCCCTGTTAAAAAAAAAGAAAAAGAAAAAACAAAACAGTCCAAATGAGCATAACTAAACCAATTCGCAAAACCCAACTGGGGGAACCTGGTGCACGTCAACTTCTTCTCTGGCCTTCCCGCTCGAGCAGCCCATGGCTATGGCCCGATTTTCCGGCTCGGGCCGGTGAAGCTCGGCGGTCGTGGTTTGGCTCCAAATCAAATGGACCAGAGTGTACCCCGGCGAACCCATAGGATTCCGTCCTTTTGGAAAAATAGATGGTTTCCCTGCTAAATGAAAAAAAACATCTAAACCAGTGCCATCTATTTTAAACCAAACTAACCTAAAAAGGACACCTATGGGCTAACCCCTAACAAAACCTCCGCCCCGGGGGGGTTATTTAATGGAAGCATAGGCTAGTGCTAAGTTGGGTAGCGAGCCTTCTGCACCGGAAGCTGGGCTCAAGGGTCGAACTAGGCTAGCCCAGTTACACCCTCACAAGAACATGACATCTTGGCATATCTTAGCCCTTGCACTTCGCAAATGAAACACCATCGAAATGTGAATCGCTTTGAGGTGGTTGCGTTGACTTGGGCAATCTTCTAGAAATCAAAAACCAGGAATCAGGGATCTCCAGGTGAGAATGCTTCATCCTGAGCTCGTCTCAGGTGAGCTCATTGCAATTTGCCTAGCGCTGAGTGCATGTCGCCTTTCCTCATACTTACATCTCATACTTTTGGTTTGAGATGGGAGCAGAAGATTGTAAACATTTCTGCAACATCTCAACTCTCCTTCCAAATCGAGGCAAAGGTCAATCAGCACCCTGAACATCATGAGACAGCAATGTGCCTGGAGTGGAGATCCTTGAGCATACTCACTACTACCTGATTTGAGGTCAGATGCCGTGCTTCTACCAAGCGCGCTGTAACAGAACTCTCCAGGATACTTCGAAAGGAACCTAGCAGGCGAACAGCGGTGCTTGAACTTTGGCTTTGCACAAGACTGTGCTCCTCAAATCAAACTGTACCTGTCAAAAACCTTCTAGCAGCATCCGTTCCAGCAGGCACAACCATGAAAATAATACGAAAGCCCGAACCGGGCAGGTTTTCTGGACGGACTATCAAAGGTCATCTTGCAAGTTGCACGTGGTTGCGCAAAGGTTGAGTGGGCCTGACTTTGTGTCACATCTGTTGCAAAACCGCCCGAGTGCATTGCCCAAGCTAATCGTTCAGAATTCCGTCAGCCCAGCTAAAAGCAATCCATGGACGACCAGCCAACGCAAGCCCTGTGTCGAGGGCTGGCTTCCCGTTCTGGGTGTATCAAAAAAAAGGGTGTCTTGTCCTTTTCGAGGAACAAGACAATGCCAATAGAACATGCTACGTTGAATAAGGTTCGATATGCAAGCCTCTTGACCAGGAGCAATTTGCCATTGTCGTGTTTTCAATTGAACGCCCTCTTTAAACGTACATCGCTTGATCCTCCAAGTCATGGGCTGCAGACTTTCTGCGGATACGGCTCGCCTCTATCCAAAGGATACCAGACCTATGAGCCCATGAATTTCAGTTGCCCCAAAAAGGGCCATGCTCCCCATGCTCCCACCTCGGCATGGGAGTCCCGAACTCGCTCCCGGCCTCGCAGCTTGGTCCTTTGACCCAGATAGGTCGTCACTCAAAGCACTTACCGATCCAACTGGGTCGACTCAACAAAGACCGAACGGCCGTGCCACATGGAACAAGTCACCTGCTGGCCCAAAGAGCCCAATTCTTAGGTGATTGATCACTTTGCAGGTCTCCCTTAACCCAAGGGGTTCATTGACACTTGTCCAAAACCAATCAAGTAAATCCAGAGAACAATTGCTCCTTGCACTGAGTGAACATAGGTCACCTTGAAGTACAAGCAAGCAGTGGATGGAAACTGCATGATAACCATTCACAATGGCTTCGTGCCCAGCTCTAATTAACCTAAGGCGACTCTGAGCTTCATCCCTCCAACAGAAACAGACTGTGGTGTCTGGCACATTTGTCAAAGCATGATGCCAGTTCGTTTGAATGGGGTCTGTCCAAATCGACCTTTGGTGTGATTGTAGAGCCTTGTTGAGGTTTGTTCTAGGGGTTGATTCCCCATTCTTTTAAACCATCGTTCTTTTCAAAAACCAGCTATTTCCCCTGGGTTTCCGGAGGTTTTCTAGAAAGAAGGATCCCTGGAAAGAATGGGGAAGGTACCCCTAGATTTGTGCTCGACTTGCCGTCTGGCCCACTCAAGAACGAGTCCCTGCCAGGCTCGAATGTGCATTGTCCGGTGGAGCCAATTTGGATGCGTGTCCGGTCGATTTGGAAGGAGAAACAAAAACACAAAGAGGCACTGAACAAAATGTTGGGAACCCCAACCAAAAAAAACTGGTCGTTCAAGGGAAGCCGACCAAACACGATGTTGCTATTCGGAAATCGAGAGGGAAAAAGGCTGGCACTGAAGGGCGCCGAAGAAGAACCTCGACAAGCTCATTCATTGAGAGCCCTTCCCATCTTCGGAACTCGAGCGACTCAGGGTGGGAACTGGCCTCTGAGATGCCAACGGGAAGGGTTACACATGACAGATTCTCTGTTTAAGGAGGCTCCCTGGAAGTGCAGAAGTGAAAATCCGGTGCTCTCCTGCGAACATAACTCTGACACCAGGAATTCCCATGCAAGTATCATTTCGGTGAGCTGGACTCTTATTCCCAGAGCCAAACACATATGGCTGTGGGTCAACACCAATGGTACCATTTTTGGTTAGGTGCACCACCCAGTTTAGTCTATTTCAGTGGGGATTGGGATGTTCACTGGGGGTACGGGATTTTGACCCATGGCCATATGACAGACAGCGCATGGAACAGCGATCGGAGCTTGCAGGGTCTCTCTGCAAACCATCTGCATGGCTTGGGGAAAATGATCCATCCACTGGTTGCTTTGGGAAATGAACGCCGAACTCATCCCTGCTCTTCCCGTGCAAGCCTGTAGGTGTTTCACGCACCTCTGCGGTTTCCATCAAGGAACATGAACGACTGTGATTTCCCCCCAAGACATGAGCGACCGCTCTCATTTCTCTGTCCCCGGGGTTGGGATGAACTGCTCGGTTGTCACTCCCCTGAATTCGGGGAGGTGACTAACTGGAACAACATGATTGTCCCCTTGACTGTCCCTGAGGGCCTTAGGGAAACCAACAGTTGGGCTGGATCAGGGTTCCCGTGTGCTTCTTACCTTTGTGGGAATGAACACCTAGAACAAATCATCCACAGTATTCCCTATGCTGGTGTGGCTCACATCCATCCGATTGAGGTGTCCGTTCGTAGAGAATGATCGTGCATCTCGTTGTTTCGGGAAATGGACGGGGCTCAAATCATCCATCCCCTTGTGTTTCCCTGGTCGAAGTAAACAACTCGGCTACAGTGGTGCATGCATTGGTGGCCTTTCGGAAAAATCGGTGGCGCTGGTAAATGGAATAAAACCCAGCTAAACCAATGCCGGTTATACTTAACCCAGCTAACCTAAAAAGGACATCTACGGTGGATGGACAAAATCCTGCACCACCTAAGAAACCATGACAAACCATTGTTTGTTGGTATTTACAGGGGAAGAATCATTTCCAGGTTTCTTTTGGTGGTGCAGGTTTTCGTCCATCCACTGTATGGTTGCATGCAAGTGCAAGACGTGCCCTAGGGGTCATTCGGCACACCGACCAGTTTTCTGCCGCAGCTTTTCTCTGGGCTCAAGGGCGTGGGTCCGCCAAGGCAGCAGCAGTCGGCATGAACTTGGTACCAACACCTCAGGGCGAGAAAGGGTTCCGTCCATCTCCCATATGACAGTGGGTCACAAATCAGGTACTCCCAAATGGCTTGCCCTGGTAAATGGAAACATGAAATGACTAAAACCTGGGTCCCCTGATGGTTTAATTTTCACCCATACTTCCCATATGCTTTGAAACGCCAAGGCTTCCTCTCTGAGTCACTTTTAACCGAGCTGATCCACTTGGCCCTCCCACTAAAAAAGCTGTAAGCTTTCTGTGTTTGCTTGATTCTAAAAGGAAACCCTCCCACAAAAAGAAAAAAGCCACGGGCTAATTCGGCTGGGCGAGTGGTTAGATGACCAAAGACAGTTCCAGTTTCCTTGGTCTCCTTCCAAAGTGATATACATACTACAAATACGTGACCTCATTTCAACATGGGCCAAGACCCCAGAGCCAAGATAAAGGTCTCGAATTGGATATATCCTTAACAACATGCTAAGTAAACGGAGCCTATAATCAACCTGGATTCCAATGGCTGCATCGGAAGCCATGTGAAAGGTGCCGGTGGCAGACTCTTGTATCTGGCCTGGAAGTGGCAGCATCCTTCGGCATCGGGCGAACATAGGACGACATAAACTGCTTGAAAGAAGCAATCGGAGGATTCCTGCCATGTCCTTTTGGGAAAATAGATGGCCCTGGTAGTTGATTGAACCACCAGGCAAACCAGGAGTCGCCCTCTTTTTTCAACCAAATCAACCAAAAAGGACACTATGATTCCTGCCAAGCACACCAGTGCCTGCCTGTCACTGTCACGCTCGATACAAGACCGCAGGGTTCAAGGCCATGCTACTCAGAACAAAGAGCTTGGATCTGCTGACCGCCCCCCCCACCCCCACCCGACAAGCAAACAGCTGTGAGGCCGTGGGAAAAACAAGGAGGCCTCCAACAGGACCTGGATGATACTTCTAGACTCGGCCGAGGCGTCGCTTTCAGGGTTCAAGGGATACACTCCCTTTCTATACGCCCGACAAAGCTGCTATTATTCCGGGAGCATCTGTTCAACAGGCAGAAGCAAGACGGATCTGCGAAGGCACGCGCTTTTGCTGGAGCAAACCAACACGCGGTAAGTTCGCATGTGCGCAGCGCCCACAACTTGTTGAATCCTGGAGTTGAGGCCCACAAAACAAGGGAAGAGATTGGCTAAAGGGTTCTGAGCACTCACGTGCGACGTGGCCGACTTGAGAGAGCTGTGTGCACATCTGCATGCTCTTCCACAGCAATCGAGACTTGAGGAATCAGGTCAACAGAGCTACCTTCCAGAGTCGGACTTGAGGAATCAGGTCAGAGCTTCTGAATCTTTGTCTGCAACGCAAAAATCCCTATCCAGCGATGTGCAAGAAACGCCGGTGGAGGCAACGCTGAAAACTCCGGACACGGTTCCCGCTTGGCGCAGCCCCTTCGGGGAGACACCATGAGAACGGACTGTGCAAAAGCCCGTGGGACCCACTCTGAATGTCGAACTTGATGCGAACTTGACCAGGTCCTACAGTAGAGGCTTAGAATAAGGGTCCCCGATTTTTTTGTCTGTAGTCTAGCTTGGTTGACGTTGGAAGGGGAGCAAAAAATAATAAATTAGCAGTTCAGTGGGGATTTCCCACTAAACCACAAATGTTTCCCAACAACAACCATGAGTAGAGGCTTAGAATAAGGACCCCCCGATTTTTTTTCTGTAGTGTATTCTAGTAGGGGAACCCTCCCCAAAAAAAGTTCGTAACAGGGCACCTAGCTGGGGGACCTAGTCTTATGCACGTGCCGACGTTTCCAAATATTGAATCAAATGCAAGGCCAGGCCTTGGTTGGGATACCTCCGTAACTCCATGAAACCTATGCCAGTACCTTGTGACCAAGTAGAAATGACTGCGTCTCAAAGCAATCCTTGGGTACGCTTGCAAGGATTGAACCACTCAACAGGAAGCTGAAATCATAGTCATGCCATATGACTCATCCAAAGGGATCCAAAGTCTGCGTCAGCTCTATGAGCTCAAGATTGTCAGCCAGGAAAACCGTCATTGCTCATCGTTGACGTTTGCTTCATCGCAATGCCACCAACACACACGCACGCACGCACGCACGCACGCACGCACGCACGCACGCACGGACGCACGCACGCACGCACGCACGCACGCACGCACGCATGTGGCTTGAGGAACACATTTGGCTGTGGGTCAAAACCCTGTACGCCCGGTGAACATCAAAATAGGTGGCAAATGGATGTGCATCCACCGCAAAATGGAGCCATAGGTTCTGCCCCATGGCCATTTAGCGATGTGGCGCCAAAAGGAACATGTGGGTTGCCAGAGCCCCTCAACCACGTCCGGAAATCGGCTGAAACATGTTGGTCTGGTGCCAAGAACCTTTCGCGATTCAAGGCACAGCTCTCCAGATGAACGGGGAGAACCCGGCCCTAAACAAACAACTTTTTAGGAGCAGATTCTGCTCAGGGGAAAAGTCCTAGGTATCTGTCTGTTCATTTGGGGATGGTTCGGGTGCAAAAGGTCGCTGTCCAACACAAATTTACCACCGTGGCCCACTTGCACAGTCCGCTCTGAAGACGAGCAATTGAAGATCAAACGGCTGTCAGATCCAGTGCCCGAACGCTGCAAGAACCCGAACGAGCTTTGGACCAGCAATGTCTGGTACAAGAAGCACAATGAGCAGTGTCAACCTTGCCACTCTCAGGGGAATTTCTCACGTCTCTCAAATGCCGTCCCGCTACACGTCCAAATTGCAAAGGGGCAACTCGAGGTTGTGCCACAGTCACAGCAAATTGGGATCATGTCAAACCAATTCAGCATGAAGAGCGCTAACTGATTTCTGCCCAGCGCAGGTAAACGCCCTCGGCTCATTTGCTAGGGCACGGCACTCTTGAACCGGTGACAGCATCTAGAGGAAGCCTACGGGAAATCCACTTTGCTCGGGGGGGGGATGCCCAGCTTGGGTGGAGTTCCCTTAGCAATCCACTGGAGAAGTGAATCCTTTGTCACCCCTCAGGCTGACTCTTCGCACGCCAGATTTAGACTTCAGTGGGGTGCGCCACTTTCACGGCATTGCCATGAGAAAAGATGGGCTAGTCGGGTCCGTCTTGCACAAGCTGCCAATCAAGAACAAATGCGGGTGAGCAACTGAAGGAGTTTCAAACGAACAAGCAGGCAATCATCAGCGCATTCCATCTTAATTTGACCATGTCCACTTTCGTTAACTGTATCGCTCCCTGACAGCAAATGCAGCTTCAAAGGACAGCTTCTCTCTTATGTTGTTGTCTGCGAGAATTAGTCCTTCTGAAAGTTTCCGAAAGAAAAGCAAGACAGGCTCCCCACGGACTGTGGTTTCCTTTCGGGTTTTCAAGTTAGAATAAGTTGGTACCCGATGTTTTTTCATTTTTGTCTATTTTGGGGGAACCCTCCCAACCAGAAAAGAAACGGGTGAGAAAGGGCACCTATCTGGGGGACCTAGTTGTTGATCTCGCGCGACACTCGATGCCGGCCAGCATCATCCCTTCACTTCAGGGCAAAGGAAGCGGCAAAACCTGAGCTGCATGCGCACAAGTGCTGCGGGTAAGCATTGAGGAGGTTGCTCCTGTGGGAAAATCGAGGCGACACAAAAAACGGCACATCCTCTTCGTAGGGATGGTAGGGCTGTTTTTGCGCAGGGACCATCAAGAAACCACAATGGCCGACA